AATTTGTGGAAAAATTCATAAATTTGCAATTGAGTGTTGTAAAAGTTTCTGTAAAATTTTTTAAAAAAATATTCTGCACGAATTTCACTTGACAAAAAAAAAAAATAGTTATATGTATTTAAAAACTTATAAAAGCTATTGTAGATGCGAAAGGAAACTCGACTAAATGTTAATTTAACAAAAAATAAGATTATTTACTAATAGACTAATTACTAATTTTTTTTTTTTTCAAGTGTACGATGACTTTCGTGGGATAAAGTTTTTGACACTTTTTGATGATAGATTTCTTAAAAATAAACTTTTTCTTTGTTTTTAAAATATTTCATACAGTTTTGTTAAGATTAGAATACATTTTTATAATTAAATATCCATTTTGAAATATTCATTTTAATTAATGGATAGTCTTATTTCACTGAAAGTCATAAGTGTACCAACACTTTTGTGAGTCACTGAAATTACATTTCAATATAAAGCTGTACTGTATACTGTATTATACTGTATTTTTTCTTACCAGTGCTTTTTATAAAATTCATTGATCAATTGTCTAATTTTTTGTTCCATACTCTAAAGGAAAAAAATAGATAAAATTCCTTAAATTTTATACTTTTTTGATCTTTTTTCTTATTTGAAATTAAAACATTTAAAGAATTCCAATCTAAACACACAATTTTTTAGTTTAGCATATTTAATTGTTTTTGTTTTAACAACTAGAATCTTATACAGAGCACAACTAAAATACTAAGTTTCAATTTCCTTCATCCAACTTAACGCATATAAATTTAAAAAATTTATATTTTATGTTTATACATTATTTAATATGTTTCCTATTTATTCTTTGTCAGCTATTTAGGGTAAAAGGAGGGATAGTTTTGGAAATATCATCTCTGGAATGCAAGCAACATTTACGAACTCTCGATAACTATACGATTCGAATTTTGAATTAAAAACCAAATATTTACCAACAAAGCAGTAAAACTAAATATTAATATATAGTTAGTTCTAAAAAAAACCTTTTTTTAAAATTAAAATATGCTATAAAAAGTTAAAATGAAATAGAAAAAATTAACATTAATGCAACAATTGTAACAATTTGTCGACAAATATTGATGTTCAGCGATTGTAAAGAAATGTGCGATTGGTCAGTTTGCTCAGAAAAAATAATTCACAGATTTCTTTGAATAGGAGTACAGAAGCTTTCAGAAAAAGAATGCAATATAAAACTTATTATTATTAAATTATAACCGACTAATTTTTGGAGAATTTTATTAAGATAAAAATACAAAATATTTTGACTCATTTTGTCATATAGCGAAAAATTACCACCAAAGCATCGGAACAAACTTGAGCCATAAATGGTTTCAGCCCACTGACAGAATTTAAAAACAGAAGCAAATATCCTAACCTCTTCTTCCACGTCTAGCACAATCTTCGCCTTTCCTAAATTACACAGTACCATAGTCTCCATAGAGATCAAAGGTTTCTACATTTGTTCAGCAACCATGAGAGAATTTTATGTGGCATTCTAGATTAATAGGGTTATAATGGAGCAAATTTTGATGCAAGCTAAGTATAGCTAAGTTGATGACATTTTAACTGTTTGGAGATATATTTCCGTCTAAAAAATGTGGGTATAATGTATGAAATAATTTAAATTAAGAAAATTAGTAACTAATTTAAATTAGTGAAATTAAGAAAATAGCTAAGAAAAAAAATTTCCAGCTTTTCTTTGAAATTCCCTGATTTTTCCAAGTTTTTTTTATCCAAATTTCCTTGATTTTTCCAGTATAAAAAAATTCCTTAATAATTCCAGGTTTTCAAGGTGGGTGGCCACCCTGAAAGAAGAGTTGAAACTTTCAAGTTTCAACCGGGAATCAAACAGATTTAATGTTGTAACAAATGCCTCTCTTAACAGTGATTTGTCCAATTTCAATTATGATATTGTTTTCTCTTGAATTAATATGCACAATTTTTTACTTCATTTTTTGACCAGGATTCTAAAAATAAATGTTTAAGGCAGTGATTATGACACACTCTGTATAATATTTTTTCTTTTTCAAAGCCATTTTATATAAAAAATTTTGTTCCAAAAAAATTCTATTTTAATTATGATCAAACACGGTAGAACCACGAAATATCATGGAAATAAAAAACTGAATTCCCTACCCGTATACGTAGGGAATAAATTGAAAAAAAAAAAAAACTCTTTTAGCCAACGCACAATTCTTGGTGACCCTCCCATTCCACGAAATAGTTTTAGTTATAAAAAGAATTCTTGATTTTTTTTTAAGAACTTAAAATACTTTTGGAATTCCAGATCGCAAAAACTTTACTTGAACAATTTCAAGAAGCATTTCTTGAAACCCTAATAATTAAGAGATAATAATTAAGATATGGGTATTTGAAAAGACATTGCCTGCATAATCTTTTTCTAAAATAGTAGATATAGATAAGAAGATTTGCTCATAAAATAGGAAAGAGCTGGCTAATTTAATGAATCCAAAAGAAACTGATATTTATGAAGAAGTAACAATGTGATTAGGAAAAATCAAAAAATCGGCATCTCGAGATACAGAAAAAAAGAAAGATAGCGAACAGAAATAGTAAAACCAAATGAAAAAATTAAGATATTGATATAATTTGAAACAAACGCTTTTAATTTTAAGTAAATGCATGTTAAATAAATTTTGAAATGACAATAAAAATAATATTTTGACTGAATTGATATTTATAATAATCACCTAACAATATCACGAAATTGCTAGTGTCTCCCTTTAAACTCATATTATCGAGATTTGCCTGTAAAATCACAAGTTGAAAATCCCTTATATTCAGCTTGTTTTGACTTAATAGATAATTTTTTTACGTGACTGAAGCTTAAACATGAAAAGTAAAATGCTGATGTCATACTCTTCAATCATTTTAATCCGTGACTGAAATATCAGTCCAATTATTGATGATTCTGATAATTTTTCTTATCTTGCAACATGAAAGTCAAAATATTCTTATAAAAAGTCAATATCATATCAATACAGAATACTCTTGAAATTCAGGTCCATATCTTTCAGATACCCTTTATTTTCTCACTTCAGACAAAATTCAGGATGAACAGGATTCTTGTTTTGTAGAATAATTTTAGCAATACAAACAGATTTCACAACCTAACAATTTCGAGAAACTTTTACATCTCTGCATCTTTTTAGAAATTCAATGAGGAAAGGTGCCAATTATTATCATACCACATAAATAAAGCTTTGAATGGTGTGGTTAAAAATCGTCTTTTAGCAGTAAGTAAAGAAGAAAACAGGAACCACCTTTAGTAATTTTTGATCTAATGATCGCATCTTCACATTCTTGGACTCAATCTTGATGGATCAAGGGAGTGATCTCAAATATGCCAATTTGTACAGACGATACGAAGTTACGAAATCAGACACAAAAACACACTTTCTCTGAACAAACATACCTTTTATTCGAAGGATTTCGATTCCTGACCCCATAAATATCAGGGGGTAGCCGCAATCTGGGAAATATGGTCCTGATAGTTTGGTCAAGACAGCAGTCAAAAGTTTGAACCCTTTAATGTTAATTATATTTTTGCGTATTTCGTCATATATCGAGAACTTTTTAAGAGAAATGAAAAAAATTTAGCACATAATTATAAAATTTCTTTATTTAAAGATAATTCATGGCAAAGAAAAATTTTTTTAATAGTTATTTATCATATTATTTAAAAATAGTAAAAAAAATATTAAATTTAAGATAGACAAATTTTTACATCATTTTAAAGAATGTAATTTTATAAGGAAAGATACAAAATTTGAACGAAATCGGTTCAGTTCGTGAGAAATCAAATTTTAAAGAAGTTGTACATGTAAAATTTGAGTACTCAAGAACTATTCGAGTGATTTCCCTCAAATTTCATAACTTTCCTTCTCTTTCCACCTTACAATTCAGATTTTTTTTACTATTATTAAATGAAATAACAAAAAAAAATTTAAGAATTTTTTTTGCATGGAATTGTCTTTGGATAAACGAATTTTACAGTTGAGTGCAAAAATTTTTCAATTCACTTAAACGGTTCTTGAGATATGGCGAAATACGCAGAAAGTAAAATTGACATTAAAGGAAGCAAACTATTTTAGACCATATTTCCCAGATTGTAGCTACCCCCTATATTTCGGGGGTCAGAAATTCAAATGCGTCAAAAAAAAGGTATGGTACTATGTTTATTGAAAGTATGGATACTTTTTTTCAATAAACATATGGTAGTATGTTTATTGAAAAAAAGTATCCGACTTCATAATGATTCAAACAATCTTCATTTCATCACGATTTTGTGCCCGATTTCATAATTTAAATTATCATCTGCACTGATTAATATTTGAGGTTATTTGAGGCCCCGAACCATTTGGATTGAGTTCTAGTACATGAAAATATTATCAATAGAAGAAAAGTTATTCAGGGTGGGTTTTTTTGTCACTGTGGAATTCATTTTTAAAAGTAGAATATGGCATTTGCGTGCAGCGTACTACAAACAAACAGCCCACCATACCCCCCCCCTATTTTGATAATGAAATGAGCAGACCTAACGCATGGGCTAATGCAAGAGAGATCTTTGGATATGAAAACATACAGTATGACATTTGATTAAAACAAAAAAAATTACAAGCTCTATCACTTAAAATGAATTTGAAGTAAAATATTTGTAAGTATGGATAATGGATGGTGCGCACAAATCGGATTTGTTTTTGAATTAGGATAGTCAAACTTTGACACACATCTTCCAAAAGAAATAAAATAACTTAAATAAGCTATGTTGCTTCCATAGTTTTCAGAAAAAGAACGTAACACCCTAAATAACTTTTGATTCAAATTGCAGATTTTCATAAAATTAATTAAGAATAGGAGCAGCCATTCTCAAGTTAAAGAAATAACAAGGAATCTTTCCCTCGCATAAAGATAGCGGAAATAAATTATATTAAAATAATAAATTTCAGACAGACATGTAAAAATAAATATTTATTAATAGACGAAATATTTTTTATAGTACAATGAAATTTAAGATAAAGGTTCATTTCTGCAGATAACAGATACACGACGATCTTTAGCAATCAATTTTCCTTTGAAGTAAGAACACTTTTCACCCAATATTTCATGAGTAAAATCATATCGTACAGAGCCTCTGAAAAAATTTATACAAAATTGTCATTCCCTATTCAAATATTTTGTGATCAATAGTATGACTAAATACAAATCACCATGTTCTGTGCTTCAAAATAATACATTATTTTTAAAAGGAAAATTCTGATACTTTGAGAGAAAGTTTTCAATTTTTCAGTTTATTTTTTGAAAGAGTTCATTTTTATTTCTACGACTGATAATTTCTTTAATTTACATAAAAAGAGTTGTGTAAAAAGGTTCTCAAGCACATTTTCAGGATAAGTTCTTAATTTAGTCTTATTTAAAGATACAACATGATTTTTCCAATTCTCAAAACATCACTTATCAATGGATAGTGATGCTTAAAGTGAAAGAGTTTACATTACATGAATAAAACAGATACTATCTACAAAAATCCTTCCATACTAAAAGAGTTAGGAACAAATTAATCTTCACCACACTTTTATGTATATAGCTTCATATAAATACACCAAAAACATAGAATTATAGTAAAACAACAAAAAAAATGTATGAACTTCAAAACTAATTTTTGAAAAATCACGAAAATTTTACTTAGAATCTTTTTCCCCTTAGCTCTTCATAAAGGAACAAAACATGCACATACATCATAAACACATGTTTTTTTTTATTATTTTATTTCATCATCATTTATGTTTTTTAAAATAAAATTTATATTTCTTTATTTTAAAAAACATCTCTAGAGCAGGATTATCTTCCTGGTGGTAAACAGGTGCATTTTATTTGCTTTGTATTTCTGCTTGCTCAGTAAAAATATTATTAATATTCTATTACTATTATCAGATTATGCAAGCTTATAAACTGTATTTGTAAAAATAGAATTAAAAAATTCTTATTCAACTTCCATTAAGTGATACTTTTAAATATTTAAAATTACATAAAATGCTTTTAAAGACAATAGGTGAATTGCAAAGGGGGAATATGCCTCTTTAATTAATTTTCCAAAACTGAAAATTTTTTTTTGAATTTAAAAAATTAAAAATTCTAAATAGTTAATATAGCAATGAATTATGTAGGTAAGACTATTTGTCAGAACCATTAACATAATTAATAATGATCCCCAAGTTTGAACATTTGAATATTGCGATTTTTTTTAGTATCAATAAAAATAAAAAGATAATGCATTGAAAATTCAAATCTCTCGATTCAATCATTTTAAAATCCGCATTTGCATTCATAGAAAATGGGATGTTCTTTAAACATTAAAAAAATAATAAGAAAATAAATAAAAGCAAAAAGTTGGGAAAACAATCAGAGCAAAATAACTTTCACCAGGAAAATCAGGATAACTATGAACCTCGATTAAGATTAGCCCAAGTAGCATAAGCGTTTGAGTTCTAAACATATTGTTGTAACCATTTATTTTAGATCTTATTGCTATTAAATGAAAACTACAATGAAAATAACTTTCATAAATCAAATCTTAAGCAATGGACAATTACAGCCTCACCTAAAATTTTATATTTTAAATCCTAACTTAGAGGAAATTCTCTCTTGAATCCAAATATATGATTGTTTTTTTTCCCCACAAATGTTTATTTTTTTAAATATAAAACATTTAAATCAATCTAAAAGCCTCTGCAAGTGTTATAAAGATCCCTGATTGGTTTTGATGTCTCCTCCATTCTCTAAGGGTATTTCAGTGCTCTTTTAGTTTCGATATCACATACATTGTATGATAGATATGTGCATACTATTAGTTACAAATTTTTTTAATTAAATTTACGTTTTTGAGAAATGTGCAAAATAGAAGAAAGATTTTTAAAACTATTTACTTATCACAAAAATAGCCAAAGAAATGATTATGCTGCTCTTCACAACGAATCAACATTTCTTTTCTGCAGAAATCAGAGGTGAGAAATTTCAAAAAAGAGATTACTTTATTCTACTTATTTTAAAGTTAAAATGATGTTAAAATCTATGGCAGATTAGATAGAAATGAAATCATTTAGAGTTTTTATAAATTTACTTCATTGAAAAATATGACTCCATTATCATAACAATTAATCTGCTAATGTTCAAAAATTCAGGCAATGTAATTTGAAATTTGCAATATATAAGTTTAAAGAATCTTTAAGCTAACAGTTTTTCTTTTACTAGAGCCAAATCATTTTCTTAAATGTAAATATTTACTAATGCAGTTTTTTTAACTATGAATAAAATATTTAAATAAACAATACTGCTCATATCTATTCGCAATATTCTTCTTCTAGTAAATGGGACTTTTGCTAAGGTTAATAAAGAAAATTTATTTATAAAGTTTATTTCCTCTTTCTGCGATATAGCATTTACAAAATATGGTTACTGTTAATTTATCATCCTATTTCTGCAAATTATTTGTTAGTGCTTATAAAGAGGAAGTCTAAAATAGCAAAACTAATGCATTATACATTTTTAATAACAAAAATTTAGTTAAAAGATTTGGAAAAAATCATTGGTTAAGCATTTGGCCTTGCCAAAGAGGAAATAAAGGCTTTCCAGAATTCCAGTCCATTAAAAAATATATGCCAATATTAACATTGCCACATTACTTATGCTCAAAATTTCACTTGATATAATTTATAACTCATCAAATTATTAAACTAAATGTTTCTGCTTCACTAAAGCTGAAGGATAAAAAACTCATGCAAAACAGAAACATTTCTAGTGCACTTTTTTCATTATTTACTGAATAATTAGATAAACAGTTATGTTGATATCCATTCTCAATTTTTATTCTTAGAATAAATAAGAATTTTGCTACAACTAAAAATTATTCAAAAAATTTAATACTGAAAGAAAACACAAATAATTAAATTCGAAAAGGATAAAACTTCTTTGAAAAAAACGCGCTAAGAAGCAGCAGAAATTTCATAAAAAAGTATCAATACAGGAAACGAAAGAAATAAAAACAAAAACATGACCACCGAAGTCGACGTCTTCAGGGGGTACTGGCCTCGGTAGCCATTAAAAACAAAATTATTTCTAATTGAGGGAGAAGCAAATGCTTAAAATATCTCCCTCAGTACCCCGATGGTTTTGTATAGAGGTCCAGGAAAAACAAGATACATTCAAAATAATTTACAAATAAAGAAAGAAAATCAATCAAAATCATCAGAAAAATAAAAACTCACTAAGTCACAGGTCAAGCTAGACATAGCTGTGACTTAGTGAGTTTTTATTTTTCTGATGATTTTGATTGATTTTCTTTCTTTATTTGTAAATTATTTTGAATGTATCTTGTTTTTCCTGGACCTCTATACAAAACCATCGGGGTACTGAGGGAGATATTTTAAGCATTTGCTTCTCCCTCAATTAGAAATGGTTTTGTTTTTAATGGCTACCGAGGCCGGTACCCCCTGAAGACGTCGGCTTCGGTGGTCATGTTTTTGTTTTTATTTCTTTCGTTTCCTGTATCAAAAAATTTAATTCCTGTTTCTCTTATGTAGAACTAAATAAATGTTTAGGATTAATTTAAATACCTTTTATAATATAAGTGCAATTAAAATAAAGTTAATAAATTGTACTGCAATATATTAATTTCTTCTACTTCTTTCACCTTAAAACAATCTTTTGATAATAATAAATTACTCTTTTTCTGCTATTCTTTATAATGTTGATTGTAATCTTGGGCTAATAATATTGAATGTAATAGCACATTATCAATAAAATCAGTATATTATTTTTTTATCTGATTACTTTTAAAGAATGAATTAAAAATTTTGCTGAGATCGCAACTTTTTGAAAAAGGCTTCTACCATTATGCTGATAATAATTCAGATTCATAAACTCAAATTAGAATAAATAAAAAAAATCAATAACTTTAGTTCTTCTACATTTTTAAACTCTAAAACTAATAACATAACTATAACATAAAAATAAATCATCAAACAAAAAAATCTTAAATATTCTTTAAAATTAACACAGTTAAATAATGACAGAATAAAATTATTTTGTATTTATGAAGTAACAAATGAAAAAGTAATATCAGATATCCATAACTCATTTTTACACCTTTTTTAGTGAACTATAAAATCTCAAATATTCAGAGCTAGAAATTTAGTTAATTATAGACAATGTTTACGTGGGTACCATTGAAATGTAACGTTTATTATAAAAATACATAAAAACAAGCCCAGATTTTCATTAAGCTACTTTAGAGGATAATATACATATCTTTGTTCTGATTTACAATCTGCAACAGATTTAATTACGAAAATTCAAGCGAAAATTAGAACTTAATGTCTTTCAATGCACAGTGATTGAAAACAAATGGCAGTAAGGCACAGGGGACATCAGTTTGTGAATAATCACATGATGCTCAATTTCAGATGAAAATGAAAGTAAGCACTTTTTGATTATTGATTAAAAATAATTTAATTAGCACTCTTAGTAATGAAATGCTTTTTAAGGGTTTTGAGTGATTCTGAATACATTAATATTCTTTTAAAAAATTGAATGTAATTGTTCACTAGTACTTGATTTTTATAAATTTTGTACAATAATAGGAACTTTTAAAAATTAAAATTTGGAAAACAGAGATAATTTTTATGATTACAACATTATAATGTCAAAAAAAAATCACCGAGTTAAAGACTAAATTTTTTTTTTTGTTCTTCTAAGAACTGTATATTTTTTCCATAATTAGAAAATAGCACTTAATTAACTGAATAGTTGAATAGTAATTGATTAATGTAGAAAATGATTGTACAACAATGTCACTTCTTATGAAAATGTATATATTGCTCATGGGCTGCAATAGTGGCACAACTCAAAAAACAAGCGTTTTGGACTAAGAACAGGTGTAAATATGAAAATACAAAATCTTTCAACAGCAATACTAGCACAGCTCATAATTCAACTTGTAGGTAATCTTCGTTTAAGCAAACTAAAGCATTTCTTATGCATTTTCCTTAGCAATGAAAACTTTAAACCCACTTATCTCAAAACATGATTTTTTGAGTTGTGCCGCTATTGCAGCCCATGAGTGATACTTAAAACAAA